TACATGTCAAGGATGAAGTGTACCTTCCTCTGTCTTTCCGCCGTAGGCTGCGAAGCCTCTCTCGTGGTTTGCATCAACAGAAGGATACTTCCGTTCTGCCCTTGATACAACTGATCTCTCAGCAAACTAAGAAACTCTCCAAAGAAAAGTGGATGGCTGGTGATGTAAATTTGCTAAAAACCCAACTTTAAATGTTAGGAAACTTTTCGCGCAAAGTTAAAACGCAGAGATAAGCGCAACATTCCATACGTCAAGACGCCGTAGGAAACCCCGTGGTTGGCGCTAAGTTGACCGCCGATAGCTTCAATGCCTTCCTATCCAGAACGTTTACTGAAAACTCGGCCGCTGCACTTCCGACTATCCCGGCTTGGACGGGTGCCGTCCTCGAAACCATACCTTTTGCCCTCTGGGACGTGACTGTAGCCATTCGTCATTTTCGTCAATCTTATAGCCCACGACATGATGGCGTCCCGGTTAGCCTTCTAAATTCTGAAGCGAATGATATGTTTAAATCTGTTCGGTGTAAGATACTTAATCTCGTTCTAGAGAGCGGAACTCTTCCTCCGTTGTGGAAGGAATCGCACATAATGTTTTTTTACCCAAGCACGGCCGATCGACGTCTTTCGACGACCTTAGGCCAATAAGTACACTGGCCACAGCATCGGGGGTCATAAAGACCCTGATATAAGAGAAGGTTATGCGTCATTTGACAGAGAACAACCTACCTAATGCAGCTCAGCATGGTTTCTTCGAGAAAAGATCTTTTGACACCTGCCAGCTCTGTTTATTTGCTGATGTGCTAGAATTTTGAGAAAGTGGTTTTGCCCTTTATAAAGTCTATTTTGATTTCATTAAGGCCTTTGATAGTGGTGACCATAATCTCTTCCTTCTGGAAATTGCCTGTTTTGGCATAGGTAACAAGTTTCTGAATTAAGTATTTTGCTATTTTCACGCTCGTACAAAACGAGTTAAAATTTCCAATGCCATGTCCAACCACACGCATGTGTGGAGCGGATTTATGCAGGGTAGCGGGCTTGGATCGTTTTTATTTTGCCTCATTCAACGGTATTCCTGATTGCTTTCAGTATATTGGATACTTTATGTACGCTGATGATTTAAAAGTCGCCTTTTAATATAAACCGGCAGATTGCAACATCGTGCTCGAGCTCATAAAAAGGTTATCGAGGTCTTTGCTCAGTGATGTTGCACATGTGGCCTCTCCCTTTCTTGGCACAAACGTTCCCTTGTGGTTGTTGGCGATGACCATCAGCCTGAACTAAGCATATGTGGTCACGAAGTACATGTGCCAGGACATATTAAGGATCTGGGCTTATCCTATTCGAATAGTCTCAGTCTTTCAAAACAGTGTATCCTGACGATCTCGAAGGCACGCCGAACTAACGGATTTATTCTCAGAAATGTTAAGGCAACCAAGGTTTGAACAAGCCTTTAAAATATGTATCTGAGACTCAGTCTCGGATACTGCCCGCTCCTATTTAGCTTTCAGCACGCTACTGAATGAAAGAACATAGAATCCGTCCAGCGTTTCTTCTCTTAAAGGGTTTGCATTTCAGAACAGCGTAACTTATCCTACTAACAAGGTTGTAAACTTATAAATTTCGATCCCTGTGTCTTCACAGATGACATAAAAGACTATTTTGCTGTTAAATCTTTTAAACAGCCGTACCTTTAATCCCCTCAGTA